GGCATAGATCATGCAAATGTTTGTAGTGGAAGGCTAACCTGTATTATTTGCATTAGAGCCACACATTCATCCTGGCAAATTCAAGTGCCATAAATTTATTCAAATCCCATAAATTTATTGCCAATGGCTGGGTGGGAAAGCCCCAGCAGATCAGTGTGTGGGTAATAGAGATGGAAGGAAACTCAGAGATCAGGCATAAAAAGCAGGAGAATCAGAGGTGCAACATCTCCCTTTTGGGTCACAAGTGCAAGTCCTGCCACGCTCAGCAGGACTTTTTGTTTATCCCAATGCAAAAGAAACCTGGGAATCTCAGCCACTTGACTTTTGGGTCTGGATTTCTGTTTCACTGCATAAGCATTTAAAAACCACTTTTTTAAAGGGGGGAAAACCCTCTCAGCAGCAAAGTCTGGAGTAAAAGCAAGTGACAGAGTCTGCAAATGATCTCTCTAGTGATTCCAGGTAAGGTCACAGCCACCTGCTGAGAGGTTTGAACCCAGTCACTGCTCTCCCCCAGGTCTTCAGGCTCTGAGAACTTGGTGTCTTCTACAAACATTAGTATTTGAAGTAGCAACAGCTGGGAACATTTTATTTCAGCAAAAAGTTGGCTTCCTCCATGGGTCCAGGAATCCCCTTGGAAGGATGTCCCTGGTAATGTTCACATCAGCTGGAGCTGGAGGGCTACAGGTGTGTAAAATGAAGTGGTCATTGGGTTTTCAAACCACTGTTCAGGGCCTTCAGAGCATCTCTAAGGGCTGACAGAGGGGTTTTTACCAAGGAAAGGGTCCAGGACAGGTGCCACATGACACTGGGGCTCTGGCAGGGGACACAGAGCTGGCACCTCTCACCTGGGTGGCTGCTCAGCCCCCTAAGGATGAGACAAACTAACAGAGCTCATGCACCAACAAAAACACCCAGACTATTCTTTGGGATGAGTCCAAAAAAACCCCAAGGGAGAATGTCAGATACAGAAAATCACCACACAGGCTGTAGGGAACTCAGCACGTCATTTTTGCAATGATGTCTCCATTCCCAAAGGTGATTTAAAACATTTTGCAGCAAATTTTAAAGGCACCGGGACTGAGATCCATGAAAGCACAGCTGCTCCCAGGCCAATTCTCTAACCCAAAATGTTTGGTTGTCTCTGCCCATGGCAAGGTATTGGAACTAGATGATCTTTAAAGTCCCTTCCAAGCCAAACTGTTCTGTAATTCCACAATTCTATGATACTTTCTCACTTCAAAGCACCCATTTGCCATTTTAACTGGGAAAAATTCAATCCTGAAAATGTCCTGTTCTGTCCAAGGGCTGCTCTTGGCTGTTGAGGCACAGACTGGAGGGCAGGGCACCACTCCCTGCTCTCATCACCGAGTCCCACTTGGGGCTCATTTCAGGCCGGTGAGTGAGAATTCCTCATCAATAAATGTGGACTGACCGGTTTGCCTCTCAGTGCCTCAGTTTCCCAACCCATACCACGGGAACTGAGTGAGTGGTTATGCTTTAAAACCCCGTGCCTCAGTTTCCCAATCCACACCACGGGAACGGAGTAAACGGTTGTGTTTCAAAACCATTCAGAGCCTGAGTGAAAAACATGTGGGCAGCACTACGTAATTTTTTTTCGTCTTCTTCTTTTTTTTTTTTTTTTTGTCACAGGCTCCTTGAGAGCTCAAAGCTGAGGGATATAAAGCACTTTTCAGAGGAAGACAGCCACGCAGGGAAGCACGCTCATCACTGATGCCCTGCAGAAAGGCAGCGGGCTGCCCAGACTCTGCACAGACGGGAAGTCTCGTTGCCTTGGGCGCCTGCAGCGCTGCTGTCCCTTCCCTGAGTCTCACAAGGCAGAAGGAAGGAGTAAGAAAGAGCCCTCTGAAACCTTTCCGAGAGCCAGAAAGGTTCCCCAGATGCTTTTTGTTAGAGCATGAAGCAGTTTGAGAGCTTTGCTAGGAGGAACAGTCACAGCCCAAAACGCATCCCTGGGTGGGGAGGGGGATTCATGGGCAGCACATGAGACTTTGGAGTCTCAGCTATGTGGGACCCCACTTTAGAGGGGTTATGACTAATAAATAGATCATGAGGAGCCAAATGATTCCCAGGACAGCACGCCATCCCGCTCCAAAACACATGCGGCCAGTGCCAAGCCCCAAACTCTGGCACTGCTGACTCCAAAACTCAGCAGCCCCACCTCTGACACCGTCCCCAGCTCAGATCCCAGCGTGGAGCCCACAGTGCCAGCATCCTTCTCAGCTTTGCGGGAAGCTGCTCAGGGTTCCCTTCCTCACAAGAAACCGATTCCCACACGGCGTTAACCCTCAGCACACCCCGAGCATCGTAAGATCTTGGCCAGGCTCTCCACACGAATCCAGCCCCGGCACGGCGAGAGGGAGCTGGGTTTGACTGCAACCCCTCGGCATCGGGAGGCAGAGACAAAGCGGTTCAGTAAAAGGAAAAAGATGCAGCACAAAAGGGGCGCCGGCATCTCTCCTCCCCCTCCTCAAGCTTGCGAAAGTGGAGGAATTGATATGAAAGCGGCTCCGGCAAGCCAGAGCCCCCCGGGATGGGGCTGCCACAGACGCTCCTGCCCTGCCGGCAGCGCAGCTCCGCCGCTCCCCTGCCTCTGCTCAGCCCTTCGCTTTGCCTCACCCAGCGGCTGCCGAGCGCCAGGCTCTCTGCGCTGCAGGGAGGGATGCTGCCAGGTGAATCCGCTGAGGAAAAGCTCAAATATTCCCTCTCCCCGCGGAGAAGTTCAGCATCTCCCTTCGGGCTGGCAGCGTCCCTCCCCAGCCGGGCTGCGCGCACGGCGCGTTTGACACCAGCCCTCGGTGCCTGCCAGGCAGTTACGATCATCAAGCAAATCTTGCCTACAGCACCGTGATTGATTATCAGCCCGGCTTCTAAAACACCCGTCTTGGACATAAACAACGCTTAGATCATGCGGCTGTCATTTATTTCGCGTGGTATCCATACCGCCGAGCGCCACACATTTAGGATGGGACAGAGAGAGAAGAAGCCTTGGAGTGGTCCTTTCGGGAAGGAGACACCCCCATGGAGGGTGGGTCTGGGCAGAGGAGGGGAGAAAAGCCCCAGGTTTTCGTGCCGGAGCTGGGGTTGCGTGTTTAAACCTGGCTGCACACGCGAAGCGAACACACACACATCTGTTGCACCGCTTGAAGCCCGGCTTAGCGAAGGATCCCACACACACACACAAACAAACAAACAAACACACAAGCACGCACTTCCCCAGGCAAAAAATTAAAAAAAAAAAAAAAAATAAAATACCACAAGCAAAACGCTGCTCGCATCCCCTGCACCTCCAGCCAGAGGCTTAGGAAGCACCTAATCCCACGCTGGGAGGCACACGCCGTAATAAAAATCACAGAGACGCCAAAGCCCGTGCCCCCCGTGCCCCCCGTGCCCCGCTGGTCCTGCCCGCTCGCGGATTTCTACAAGCAGCACCCGGGTGAAACAGAGGGCAGGTAGAGAAAACAAGTTAGCACGCTTTCCGCCCTCCAAAATATCTGTGCACGCTCAACACGAGTCCCTAGAAGGCTGCGAGCAGCTCGTATCGGCTGTAAAAACCCCCTGGCACCGTCATTGTTCCCAGGGAACGAGAGCATCCCCCGGCAGCATCGGGGGTCCCGGTGCGAACCTCCCCTCTGCACCACTCACCCCCAGGACTCGGGGAGCTCCAGATTCCCCTCGCTTTTCCCAAAATTTCTCTTCCCAGGCATCGCCTCCCGGCAGCGGAGGGAAGCCGTGGACAATCAGGTGCGCTTCCAGCGAGCTCTCCCGCACGGCTGCGTTGGGAAGCAGCGAGGGGTGTGGAAGTTTTTCGGGAGAGCCACACGCCTTCCAGCGGGTCCTTCCCACCAGGGCGAACCCTGCGGGTCCTACCCCCGCATCCAGCACGGCGAACGCCGCATCCCTTCCCGGCACGGGGAGCAGATGGAGCCCCGGGAGGAGGATTTCCTCCGGGCTGGGGATGGAGCAGCCGCTACAAACCCAAACAGCCCTGCTGGGGCTGAGCAAGCGGGTTTGTTTGTCTGCGAGGAACTCAGCTGCTGCCGGAGTATCAGATTTCCACCAAAACAACGTGGATTTCCACCAAAACAACGCGCGGCTCGGTGTTTAGATCACTTCTCCCGGTCTACATAATTTAAGGGCATATGTGTGATAAACGCAGAGCATCGATACGCAGGTTTCGCTTGCAGCACGCACATGCACCGAGGGAAAGGAGGGAGGTTCAGCAGCGCTGACTCCGCAGCCGGGATTTGGGCAGGAAAACTCTCCAGCACCTTGCAGAAAGGGAAGAGACGGGGGTCTGCCCTTCCCTGTTAGGTGTTCGCCACCGGGGCTGGCCCCTGTCCCCATCCATCGGGGATGGGGAGGTGTTATCCTCCCCGGGAATAGGGCTCTGCCTCCAGCCCCGTCCAGCTCCATCCTCACCGGGAGCAGGAAAAGTTTGCAAATGCCTCCAGCCCCTCGCCCGAAGAGAGCTGTGGAGCATCGGAGGGGGAAAATACCCCCCGAGAGGAGGAAAACCCGCAGCCGGGGGATGCCGAGGGTGATGAGGGACGGGCTGAGCCGCTACCTCCGGGGAGAAAAGTTGAGCCTTGTGCATGGGGAAAAAGCCATCGGGGACTCGGGAAAGGGGGACACCGGCCACCGCGTCCCCTCCTTGCTGGGGATGTGGAGAAGGGGGGCTCCCCGCCGCGGCCCCCCGCCCGGCATCCTCCCAAACCGGGCCGGGAGGAGCGGAGGGGCCGTGCCCGAACCCACCGGCTCAGCCCGCTGTCCGCAGGGGTCCCTGTCCTCCATCCCAGACCCCCTTCCCGAGACCCGGGGATGGGGAGCAGCGCCTCCCAGAGCCCCCCCTCCACTGCCGCCAGGTGTGGAGGGCAGGTACCGCTGCAGCCCCGCCAGCCCTCCCGGGGCATCCTCCGGGGCATCCTCCGGGGCATCCTCCCGCAGCCCCCGCTGCCCGGGCGGGGCGGGAGGCTCCTTACCTGGGAATGCTCCTCGCTTGCTTTGGGTGGGTTTTGGTGTATATATATATATATCTATATATATATATATTAAATTTCTCTCCTCTCCTTTCCCCCCACTTCAGTCTTCAGAGCAGGCGCCGCATTGACACTGCAGATGGTCTCTGTGTGCGTGTGTGTGTGTGCGCGTGTGTGCCTCTCTCCAATCCCAAATACTCCACGGAGGCGGAACACGGAGCCCCTCTCTCTGCACTGGGCAAACCGTGTCTGGCTCGCCCAGAGCCGGGGTGGGGGGAGAATGGGGGGGAGGGGGGGTAAACGCAGCTCCAGTTTTCACTCCCCCCCCCAATCACCCCTTCCCTCCCCTCCCTCCCTCCCTCCCCCAGCCCTTCCCCCCCACCCCCCGCCTCTAGACCAGCCAGGAGTGGGGGGAGCCGGGCAGCGGGGCTGCAGGCAGGGGGATGCAGGCAGGGGGATGCAGGCAGGGGGATGCAGGCAGGGGATGCGCTACGGGGCCATGCCCGGCTCCGCGGCCTCCCGCCCGCCGGGGAGGGCTCGCACTGCGGCTGTCTCGCCAGCCAGCCCTTCCTCCCCAGCCCTCCTCTCCAATGGTGGCTGCGGAGCCGGCTTGGACACCCAGGCTCTTTTGCAAACACAGGCACACGCAAAGGCACACACCCCTTTCCGAAAAAAAAAAAAAAAAAAATTAAAAAAATAAAATAACCGGAGAGGTGTAGAAGTGCTGTGGCAACAGCAGCCCAATGCACGGGGGAGGGATAATAAAAAATAATTAATAAAAAATCGAAGCGATAATAAAAATCCCTTTCTATCCTTTTTCTCTTTCTTTCCTATATATATATATATTTTTTAGCTTTGCAGAGAGAGTGGCCGGTTGCTCCTCCTTTCTCCAGCCCACCCACCTCCGGCAGAGGGGAGAAGGCGGAGGAGCGCAGGTTGTCTCTGGAGGGGGTCCCCCAAGGCGCTTTTCGTCGTCCTAAAGTTTGCAGGGGATGGGGATAGGGATGGGGACGGGGAGGGGAGCGGGGCCGCCTCCCGGGGCTGCCGCCGCCGCTCTCCCAGGGCTGCAACTCCGCGGCTGCCTGGATTCCTCCTCCTCCGGTGCCTTCCCTCGCTCCTACTCACTACTGACACCTAGGATCTCCAGCCTGATTGGGCTAATTG